GAAGTGACGGTTAAATCAGGTATAAGGTGAGGATGAACGGGGAAGCGCATATTTCGCGAAACAGGCATCTATGATTATGCATAACCACCGTCTAGATCTCCGCCCAGCTCACATCTGTCCATCATGGTGCCCGTCCGGATCCCTAGAGAGCAATTACCTCCACCCCCAAACCAACAAGTGACTCAGAGTGAGGTCGCCAGTGTGAATCGATGGGCCAGAGGTAATTCTCATATCTAAATTCGGTACGTACTTATTGTTGTACGATGTTGGTGCCTCACAAGACCTTAATTGTAGCAAATAGTCCACACCAAACAACAACCGTCCATATCAGGGGAAGTAGTAGCTGATGATAAGCAACATCAATCATCGACGGTGGTAAGGAAACCTGACAAACAACTGCGTCTCGACGCATACGAGAGGAACCCCGCGAAGTTGGCGTTTTGCTATGGAAAGTGTGCCGTAAAATGAGAAGCGTAAATCCTGGATCCAGATGAGGTGCGCAACCAGACGAAGACGGCGGAAACACCACGTAATGTAGATGGGTGGGCCAAATAAGCTAAAACTTACAGATCGGGTGAGGACAATTAGGTATAGGTTTGTTGTTAAAAAGAAACAAGACATCAGTAGTACGCCGGTACACCGTATCGGCGCTTCGCTGTCACACAACCACCACCGGTCGCGAGGGTCACCCGGTCTCCTACGCAGACTCGAACCCACAACCCCCTGGTGGAAAGGCAGAGGCATTGTTCTTTCGGCCACGGACTGATAGAGTGGAGATGACTGTATGAATAAGACAAGATTGACGCATCAAACATCAGAGTGCGCGGATTTGGACGAGCTCTATTATTACTGCCCAACGGACTTACCAACAGGCACACACTTCTACCCATCATAATGGAACACATTTGTTTTAGCTCTCCAATGATTAGTTCTGCAGCTACATTCGCGACGCTTTAAAATTTTTATGCTATTTCACGCACATGAATCCGCCCATTTTCCTAGCCACCTTACGCGAAATCAAACGAAGCAAAAAGAAGCAATGTGGTCCTACATAAGGTACCGTGTATGATGGAGTGTTGCATTTCAGTGCCAATATCCGATCGCTTTTTGGAAAACTTCGAAAGTGTACTAGACTGTAGTGAAGTCTTGATTAAGCATTATCCGACAGGAAACGTAGGTTTACGTAGACGTTGAAAGTAAAGTCGTGGAACTCGACAGATTTGTAGTTTATGGTGTTAACCGCCTATGTACATAGAGGAACCGTGATTTGGCGTTATCATCCACATCAATTTTTCATAGTGCACATCGACAAAACTACAGTTCCACTACAACTCGCAACGTATTGGCTGTTAAATCGTGAAATGCAAACCGCGAAACCTGAACGGTTATCGTTCGATTTTATTTGCTTATGTGCATATTTTTCCCAGCTGTTTTAGCTCTGAACTCGAAGACATTTATGATGGATTTACAGCTGCTTCCATGAATACCTGGAATTCTCAATGCACAGTTTCTGACTAGTTTAACAGGTTTCACAATGATTGCACTGCACATCTCGAGTAAAAGAAAATCGAGCAATCGCCGACTGGGTTAGTAAGCACAAACATAGTACCTGCTGATAACTTGAAAAAATTGTCTTCTAGTTATCGAGCGCCGCTTGTGAGCTCTGGTTATCCAGTTATTTATAAACAGACGAATCATAGGGATTTCGTCCATTGTAAAGAACGGAAGTCCAGACTGAACAATGCCTTTTACAGAAAAATGGGCGGCCGCGAGAAAATATTGCCTTAACAGGTTTTAACTTACTTTAGGACGCAGATGCATGGAAGTACTATGACCAGCTAACTAGTTACCATAGATTCTGCCTTGACATCTGCTATCTAGTTGAAACTGTTCGCATTCGTACAGATAGGTTCTCGTCACAACGTCTGAAACGACTGCGCAAGCTCGAAGAAAATGTGTTTAAACGCAAATACCTTACCACAGTCAAGTGCCGGTCGATCGACGTAAACATCGATTTGCGCCACTGTCATCACATATAAGTTCAAATCATATCGAGAAACAATAGCGAAGAGAACATAAAAAAATTGGTAAAACAGTTATGTGGAGTTACCCGCGATGAGGTGGAAGAATGAAAATCCATTTTCGTCACCAGGAAGGTGACCCAGTCTCTGATACATCATCTGTTTGAGTTACGACCGTACTAAACCCATTCCCTGAACAGGAAAATTATCAACCTAAAGTCGAACAAATCAGGTCCGGATAAACGGTTCCCTGTTGTCCTCAAATAGAGTGCTGATTACATCGCACAGCCTTTCGCCGAAGTGTACACGCTGTGTTTAAAGCAACATAAGATAGTCGACAACTGGCAGAGCGCAAGTATCACGCCGGTGCCAAAGAAAGGGGCTTGCGAAAATCGATCAACTGCTTGCATGTTGATTGCTTTTGAGAGTTTTATTCTTGGAAGGATGCTAGCCCAGAATATTGCTGTTCAAAGTTCACCATAGATGTGATAGTTTGTCTGGTATATTCAATGCTTTCACTGTTAGAGAGCAAACAGAAATCCACCCACATCTGTTTCCTGGACTATAGCAACGCTGTTGGTTACGTTCGCAGTGAACTGCTGTCAAGCAGTTTGATGGGTTACGGGGTTCAACTTTCAGTTGTTTTTCTATTGATGGATTACCTTACCAAACGCACAGTGACAGGCTTCTTGTAAAGAACTCTTTATCCCTCATAACAAATTCCGGTGTTCGCCAGGTGGCCATTTTATTCCAATTCCTAATCTCCAGTTGTTATCTCAATCCTCGTCTATGAAGAAGCCGCCTTGCTGAAGAGCAAAAGGATAACGTAGTTCTGGATGTCCATTATGCAACAACGCTCAACGGCCAGAGTAAAACCCTCCCGGACACGGCTTGGTTCAAACCCCGTTGCCTATTATTGCACACATCAAAAGGCGAAGATGTTCTTTTTCAATGTTTAGAGGAGATCGCCATTAGCAATTTTTCATGTAGTGCCCACAATTTGGTATCGATGATACACTTCCACTTCAGTGAAATATCTGGAAGCGATACTAAGCAGTCTTACGCGGTCACTGCAGGTGAATGAGATTTTCACTAAAGCCAGAAGACTTTCGTTCTATGTTACGCGTTTCAGGTTATTCTGAAGCACCCGTATTCTGATCCTACGTCTTATCACTGCGTGTGTTACCCTATTGAACTTAGTCCTCTCCAGTGATCGTTCCTGATCACTTGAGTAAGGAGCACAAAGTAATATGCGGATCAGTGAAAGTTCTATCTCGGTGCAGTGGTAATTAGTGTTAATTCCGGCAAAATCTCTCTCAACTTCCTAATCAGAGGTATAGAACATGTATGGCATTTGATAAGTCACTTTTGTCCGTGGCATGTGTTACAGCTGAAAAGTAACCCGTCATGTGTGCGTAAAACGCTCTTAACTTGACTAGGCTGAGTACTTGTCGCTTCATGGTCGTTGATGGTTGTGCACGACGCTAGAATATGGCTACTTTATATATAAATAAGTATAAACGACAATGCGGCGTCGATCATAGTAAAGGCGTAAAAAAAATCAACTTCGAAACAGATGCTGCAGGGATTAGCCCAAGAAGATTCATCCATATCTTATGCACTACAGTACCGCTATCTCAAGCACCGGGCTCCGATGGCTGGGTCACGTGTTGCGCATGCCAGAACACCGACTGCCGCGACGTGCGTTGCTTGCACGTCGGGGTGTGAGTGGAAGAGAGGCCAAGCGATGACTTGGACAAGAGGAATGAAGACTCTTAGTTCGAAGCTGGCCTCAGTAGGAGCCACTCGGCTCCCTGGTTGGAGTTCCAAAGATGATGAACACGTTTGACTGGATACACTTGCTGACATGGTTGGGAGTCGACCTCATCGAGGCGTTGTTAAACTACGCTACTTACTACACGCTACTCAACAATGCACTAATGATGTCAGCTCGATTGGTGACGAGACGTTTGAAACAAAATTGCTAAGCTCAGCGAACAGTTCAACTGCTACCAATTTCTTTGTTTTTCCGTCTCCAACTACGACCTTCTTTCCTAGGCACAATATAGTCCTTTTGGCGGCACTATAACCGGCTGGTAGCTCTCTGGAACGATGTCCATCCATTAGTGGTTACTCAACTGGTGTGTCTCTATTGCATGTTTTTATATTTGCTTATGTATTGCGGCATAATAACTGAGGTACTTTGAACCTCTATGTTGTGTCCGATATGTTGGGATCTAATCCCACAATTCAGCCCTGACTAATACCTTTCAACAATGCACTTGCGCGCATTTAGGAAACACCATCTGTAACGCTTGTCCGGCTATTCAATCGGAATGTCAGCAAAGGACAGAGCCGAATCCATGGCTTCGCACGCGATTGTGTTCTCCCCCAAACGCATCTCACAATACACAACACATGCGAACACCGTTTTCAAGATTTCTAATACAACTCGCGCAGATTGTTTCCAACCTATCTATCCGACTACTTCATCGCATTTTTCAATTTGGCGTTGTCGCAAGGAGTGTTGTTTATAAGCTCTCGGTACTTTCCAGGCCATGCGTCAGACCCATCCTTTGATTCGTACACATGCCCCCTTCCCGCATACCAGGCTCAGTGACTCGCATTTTATAAATCAGTAGTGTTGACAGAGTAGGGAAACGATGGAACGATGCATGATGCTAGCGCAAAAGGAAAGGTAACTTTCAGTGACCATTTAAGAATCAGATGGAATAGGACCAGACAAACAGGTACCCTGGCACTATCGATACTCAGTGTTTCTAACTATCCATCGATCACATGTCTATGTATTGTGCGATGGGGAAGCAAATTAACTTGTCTCATAGCATTAGTACCTGATCACTAGCACCTAACTGGTGGTGGATCCGGTCTAATAGTGTACTCCGACCAACTCAGCAAAGTACGTGCTATTGAAGTGTAGGATGATAGGAAAAGAAATGAGAGCACGCTTTCTCTTACTTCGTAGGAACGATTGACCGAGGAAACTCGCCATCCATTTGTCTGCGGCGATTTCAGCAGTTCCAGGTGGCCTTCGTCAAGGATAAATTTCGGCACCGAACGAGAAAAGGGCGGCTCATAGAAGAAGGGATACAGAAGCGTGACATCGCCTGGAAGGTAAAGGAGATACGGTACGTGACAACAGTACCATCAGGCTCAAGTGAAAATTGTAGAGAGCACAACAAATGGAATGATTTCCATTGTAGATAGATCATCAAATGAAAAATAAGTCTACGAGACCCAAACGACAAAAGGAGGTCAAGGACAGTTTTAAACAATCAATAACGGTGCGTTTGAGATATGCAGAGACAAAGAGATAAAAATCGGACGTAAAAGCATTGTATGCCAAAAAGAAGACAAGTTAGGAGATTGCTCTTCGTCTTACAAATCTGCTGTAAACTAGTCTCCGTTGGCACTCATAATGACTTGGTGTGAGTGAAATCGTCAGCAAAAACCACCTCATTTTGTACGAGCGGTGTTCTTCGTTTTATGGAACAGAGTACATAAGCCTCAGCATAAAGACATCTGTCACAACTCGGATAATAAAGTGAAAACGGTATAACTGAAATCGAGTCCTTACTCGCTGAAATAAACCATTCATAAAATATTTCTTGAACATTTCCTTTGGTTTACAGCGTTTGGATTAGTCAACTATGAGTCGTGCACATAGGAGGGGGTGAAACAAGTTGCTTTGATTCATTTAACCATAAAAATAATATTTAACCGGAGAAACAAACAGATAACTGAATTTCAACGAAGAAGCATGGACAAGTAAGTTAGCGCCGTTGAATGGAATCGGTTGAAGACAGAGGAATGAAGTAACTACAAGAGAGAGTGAAAGAATTACCCAGGAAAAGGAAATTAGGCAAGAATGTGGGAGGTCCGGAAGATCACATTCGGGGAAGGGGATACTTATCAACCCGGCCAAATTGACTTGTGAATAGCCCCATGCCTTTATATTAGGTCAGTGGATGGTGGCTTCGAAGCTTGACTTATTTTTTCAAGTTCCACTTTCCGAACAGGTAGAATATTAACCAATGAGGTCCGGCTAACGTATGCCATAAAATGTATGCAGTCCCTGTCAAACTAGACCCTTTTAAAACCCTTACCCTTCCCACCCTGGAATACTGCAACAAGATTTGTGGGAACATGCGCATGAGTGAGAGAAAGGTTACTACAACCTATCAGGAACACCGCCAGCAGATTTATCCCAATCCTCTCTAGTTGCGACTACGGAAACACAACTCGGTACTCATACACAATCTGATACAGCAGAAAGCCTGCTCCGATATATTCACATCAAAATAGCTACATACGGTTCCCCGGAAAGTACACGTTAAGAGATGCCCAACACTTATATGAAGGGCAAGGGCAGGTACTCATCTTAAATTCGTTCTCAGCAAATACGCCGTTCTGTGGAATGGTCTAACAGCCACTATAAAGTTCTGTACAAACGCAACAACATTCCGCATTAAACTTGAAGTCTCATGGACGATAGCTTGATAAGGATCATATTTTCTTCTAGGGTTCTTCCAACATAGGCCGAAAAATATATGGTCAGTGGAAACAAAAAATGCACGCGAAAACCAAGCACCAAAAGAAACCGACCAACACAGATATTACCGGATCCTTAACTTACTCATATAGTCTCATGGGCAAAATTGTACATAATGGTCCTTTCTCACTACAGGAACAGCCACTGGTAAACACAGGGAATATATATGAGGAATCGACAAACAGCACACTTGGTGTAGCATTCTGATTCAAGCATAGTCAGGGAAACCAACAAGATCTTTTGTTCATGAAATGTAGAATCATTTACACCACAGGCATTTAAGCACTATTCAGTTGTGATGGCTTTTTACTGCGTGACTGTTCCTGTCGTGCCCGTTGGAGTGCATGTGCTGTTTGGTGACTGTCCCCACTATCGGTAACCATTATGCACTTCCTTCGCGCAAGGTCGGTGGCGCCTGGTGGGCTTTCTATCTGCCTGCGCCACTCCGGTCACAACCATCCGTACGACCGGCCAGTTTCAGGCAACACAGAACACATTTTCAGCTTAATAACTTTGAGGGTTGGGTAGGGTGTTGCAAAGAACACTTGAATCGATCTGCTGCGGCTCCACTGCCGCAAAAATACCAGAATGCACGCGAAATGTTGACGGGTAAGTTTAGAATGTTGAAAAGACGTAAAATAGACTAGAGTTTCACAACGAAGCAAGGTGCGGGGATCTAACGATGCTGCTTTATCGTTGTTGGTCTGTGTAACCTCCACCGATTGAATGTTGAGTAACATGGAGCCAGTGATTCCGAAAACAAAACAAAGTTGGATCGCAACAACTACGATACTAACGAAGCACATATAATTACATAAATCGGAAAAAACCCAATTGTTCTGGGTCCCGATGTCTGCGTCACAGACAAAGGAAATGGGCAGCAAACCGATGCCACAAGAGTTGAACGCGAATAAGCAGCGCAAATGAGAAAAGCAAGCTGTGAGGTCAGCAACAAGGTGCAAGCAAAAAAAACCCTCAATCACAGTGAGGTAGTGTATAATGAAATGGACACATAGAAAACGATAGCAGAGAAAGCGCCTGACAACGTCAAAACCAACACAGATAAAATGAGGTCCAGGGAATGCATGTGTAAACGAGTGAGGAACCACGGTTGTTGTCCACGACATCTAATATTCAGCCAAATTCACGAAATGCTACTGCGCGTGTAGAGACACGAATTTCTCTTTCACCTTAGTGGTGAGGACATATGGAACTCTCGGCAGACGAGTGGTTTAGTTTAGGACTCAGCTGAGTACAGGCGTAACCTGGTAAAGACACACCGATATGAGACTGTTTTGGTCATCGAGCGAGATGAGTACAGATAGCCACGACGTGTTTCCGGCGTTCGTTAGCTGTCAGCTAACTTCGCGCTGAGTGCTGAAGATCATGGCCAACCGTAAGCGTTGGAGCGATCGATGGTGATCTGTGTATCTCGCTGGCTACGCAGCGAAGTCGGTGTAGGCGACATAAAACGCGCAACGGAAACTGTGGCGTGAATGTGCGCACGTGATGGTAACTCAGCGAATAGGGTGTTGGATTATCTAAGGACAAGGTTAGGCATCGCAAGTCATGTGAATGTCAGTAAATCACTGCCTCAGGTAATGGAGCAGAAGCAGACACTGCAGTCTGGAACACGTCACGTGCCTGTTACTCAGCGCGCGCTGATTATTCGGCTGTAAGATGAATGCGGTTTAAACGCCACATCAACTTCACGAAAACACAATGCAATGAACGCAGGAATGCGTCCCGTCACCGCCCGGTACGTGTGTAAACTAGTGGAGAAGTTCGAGTAAACTGGGTGTGTGTGACATAGAGAGAACCGGACCGCCTCGCATCACCACGGACGACTGTTCAGCTTGAGCTGTAGTCAGTGAAGTATCAAAAAGTCCCGATCTCAGTGTTAGTCGGATCGCGCAGCACTGTGACACGACCCGATATGCGGTACACCGGATAGTACAGGAACGAAAATTTTGAAGATTTCGTGCACTTCAAGTGCAGGTTTTGAACCCATACGATCCGGCGAAGCGGCATAAATTTTGCCGCTGGTTTCTGGATCACGGGGATATTCGTTCTGTTATCTATAACGATGAAGCATTGTTTCCTCTGCATGGAACCATGAAACATTACTGTTGGGCTACCAGCAATCCACGAAAATTTACCGCATTACATATGCACCCCAGTGTGAAACTGATGGTTTAGGCTGCATTAACAAGCCAAAAAATCTTGGGCCCATATTTCTTTTCCAGGAATATGACCGGTAGGTTGTTGTTTTAAAGTGCTAAAGCCATATCTTTTCCCAGCATCGTCGTACTTGGAAATGTTGCAGACATTTGTGCTTCCCCAGTTAGAGGCCGAAGGGGTATGCAGTACCATTTGGTGGCAGCAGGATGGTGCACCTGCACATTCTGCTAAAACGGTGCGTGCTTACCTCACCAACAAATTTGGCCACTATTGGATCAGGCGTGGTAGACCAATGGAGTGGCCTGCTCGCTCACCAGATTTGAACCCCATGGACTTTTTTTCTATGGGGCTATCTGAAGCGGCGAGTGTATAAAATAAGACCGAGTACATTGGAGCAATTGAAAGAAAATATTATGAACGAATGTCGCGCGATCACGAGGGATACATTGAAGAAAGTGCTCGCCAATGGCATCAAGCAGCGGACATTTTGAACATATCCCTCACTAGCATAGATGATCGTTCCAATACATTTCTGTTAATATACTTATCCTCTTTCATAAATGTGTTAACGACTAAATTGACCCGCTGGCAAATGGTGCTAATGATGCGTCCGGTCGGATAGAATTCTTAACGTCCAGGTTGTCGTGGAGCACATAAACAGCGTAGGCACCGAAACGTTCGATGGCTACTTATGGCGGAATCATTGAGTCGCTATGAGCTGAAGTTCATCCAGCCTTAATGAAAAGCCGACTGTGTTGTTGACCCAGTTTCAGGTTATTGCCTGTGAAGTTGGTGTTCGGGATGAGTTGCAGTAGGTGGCGACATGTGTAAGTGGGGTCGTTCAGTATCTGGTAGACTAATAGGAGGTCTCCACGTAGCCACCTGTAGCGTCTACTGAACACTCCGAGTGTTTTAGTCCCTGCCGATACGAAAGATTGTACAATCTCTTGATACATTTTCTTGCTCGACCATGGTGAGTTTCGAGCGCTGCAATGTCACGGTTTGGCCAAGCGTGTCAAGTCTGGATTGCATATTCGACGTGGGAACGCACGCAGGCATGAGCATCATAGAGAAAATGAATGAATCCAGACTTTCGAATGTCATCCGCAAGCTAACAACGTGCTGGTCCCCACTTTTCAGACGGATTCCGACTGTCTGGAATAACCGAAGTCGTCCTGCACCAGTACACCGAGGTCAAGTTCCTGAGGGCTTGTCTGCAGTGCATATGCACCAATTTTTTAGAGATAGGCGTGCCTTTGGCTTATGTCGACTGGGTGTCACTTGATCACATTGAATGGCAGTGAATTCCTCACCGGTCAATGCCAGGTTCCATCTAGGTTGCACATGAAGGATCTTGTGGTCGTCCATTCTCTT